CTCTTTCTCTCTCTCTGTGGTTGTTATGCTTTTTGTGTTTTGGAGTTTCTTGCTGTTTTGGATCAGGGTCTCATTGAACTTCTGGCACTCGTCCTGCCCCAGCTTCTCATGTCTAGTATTATATATGTGTATCACCATGCTCTGCTTGTTTATTTATTTATTTTTAGAAGAGGTCTCATTAAATTGCACAATTTCCCAGAGTGGGATCAAACTTGTGGTCTTCCTACTTCAGCCCTCCCACAGGGATGGGATTATAGTCCTGTGCCACCACACTCAGTTTAGAATGTTTCTTGATCTCTCCTTCAATGTCCCTCAGCCACTGCCCTTCCCAACCTTAATTTCAATGTCTCCTGTGTCTAGTGTCTTTACTTTTTTTGTCTCTTCTTAGATTTCATGGTGCCCAAAAATAAGAACAATCAGCTGGGCATAATGGCACACACCTGTAATCCCAGCACTCATGAAGCTAGGACAGGAGAATCTTGTGAATTTGAGGTCAGCCTTGGCTCCAAAGTGAGTTTAAGGCCAGCCTGAACTGCAGAGTGAAACCCTTCTCACAAAAGAATCCTGCAATTCAGAGAGGGCTGTGCACACAAGGACTTGACCAACTGTTCCTCTAGAAAGGGTCAGCCTTGCCTGTAGTAGTTTCACCTGTAACCTCAGCCAAGAGCCCTAACCACTCACCTACTAATCAGGGCTGAATTGGAAGAGAGGTACCTGTGCTCCTTTCCCTTCCTGACATTGCCTGTACCATTTGGCTTTCTCATCTGATGGCATTATCTCTCCATATTATGGAATGAATGTTTTATCACCAATACATTTCAAACCCAGAAGTAGAAGTTCTGGGAACAAACCTGGCAGAGCTGGGAATACAGCTCAGTGAGAGAGCTTGAATCTCCAGGCTCTTGGTTTGATCTCTAGCACTGCAGGAAAACACACTGGATGGCTTAGAGCGGTACAAATATTTTAACTTTTTTTTTAGTTGCATATTCTTTTTAAAAAATTTTTTCTAGTATGTTTATGATACATATGGCTCTGCATCTCTCCCACTTTTTAAAACAAATTGGGGTATGTCAGCTTAGTCATTTAAAATTTGTTAAACAAAATATCTTCAACAAAGGCACTTGGTCATTATTTTATAAACCATATTAGGATCACATATAGCAAGTTAGATTAAATATTTTAAGGGCAAATACAACAGAAAGTGAATATTTTGTAAACAAAATTTTTTAGTATTCTGTGATGAAGTTGGATTCTGTTTAACCACTTTTCCCCCTAGTGTTGTTAGAAACTCTCAGTTACTATATTCTGCAGCTACATTATATCTAATTGGTTTACATACTCAAGAGCAGTGTAGGTATTTTGGGATATATGCCTTACCTTAATTCCTCACTTAGCATTACAATATTATAGATGTTTTGAAAAAATTAAGTTGTGAAAAGGGTAGGTGGCATATTATCATTATCCAAACTGGTATCATATTCTGAGACCCCTTTGACATGCTCTTTCTAAGATGTCTGTTGACTTATGACCTGAAAGCCTTACTCAGAAAAGTTTAGTGGTGTTTCTTCCTGCAGGAATTTCCCTGTGATGCATACAGTCTGATAAAAGTACCAGAGTGCTTGGCAAACGCTTAACTCTTCACCAGTAGTGCAAGAAAAGTTCTAATTTCCCTCCTTAAAACTCATGATATTAGATTTCTTATTTCATTTCCATAATTCTTATTAATAGACAATAGATACTCACCGTCATTATTTCTATTTCTTGATTACTGGCAAATCTGAGTATCTTTTCATATATCTAGAAGTTGTTAGAGTTTCCTTTCCATGGATTGTCTATTAATATTTTTTGCCCATTTTATAATGGTTTCCTGCCCATTTATTTATAAAATTTTAGATGTTAAACATTCTGAAAACTTTCCCCTGGTTTCTTATCCACTCATAAGCTTGTTCATAGTATGTTTCAGTGAGACTTAATGAAATCCATACATTTTCTACCTTATAATATATGTTTTGGAATTTTAGCTAAAAGTTCTAATTCCTAGGTCACAGTGTTAAATTTTGAATTTTGTATATTTATTGTGTTAGTGCTTTCTCTATCTTTCTTAGCATATATATATATCCATGTATACACATATATGTACACACATGTACATACAACATATGTACATATATACCGTAACACTTAGCACTAAAAAAATCATTCCTGCATTTATAAAATAATGATGCCCTTATCACCATTATTTAAATGAATCTACTTTCTCAAAGCAAGAAGAAAGAGGGAAAATGAGGATTGAAAGGAAGATGAGTTAAAATTAAAACAGTCACTATATCAGACTTTATAAGTTTCTTCAGAAGAAGAGTGTAAAATAGGAAGAGATAAAAGAGGATATTTGTGTTATGCTTGCTTTCCTAGTGTTAAACATCTTTATTAGAATAGAAAACTCCAAGACTATCCCAAGGCATATTTGCTAAGGTCCTCCTATATTTCTTTAGGCAAATGACCATTCACTCTGCAGTTAGGAGGTCAGCATATTCATTAGCTTATAACGTGGAAATATATAGGGAAGAGGCGATAGTCAAGTAGTTCCCAGGTTGGGGGCTGGGGTTCTGGCAAATACAAAACTCAAATATGCAAAGTGTTGATAAGTTCCATCCTCAAATAGCATATTTTTGTACTCTTTTTAGCTACCCCAATCCTCAACAATGGACTGCCACCTTTGGCATTTCCACACCCTCTCCTAGACTGAGAGTGAGAGTGAGGACTATCTCGGTCCACAGCAATTACTCACGTGTGACTCGTGAGAACGACATTGCAGCTGTGCAGCTGGAGAGGGCCATCACCTTCACCCGATATATCCGCCGAGTGTGTCTCCCTGCAGCCACCCAGAGTGTCGTGCCTGGTTCCACTGCTTATGTAACAGGATGGGGCTCAATAACCTACGGTGGTAAGTGTCTCCAGAAACTAAGACACCAAAATTGAAGAATAATGCAGTCTCTTGCTATTTGCTATTATATATATTTTTTTTAAATAGGAAACATCTGGCAGACAGGTCCTGCTGACAAAATCATCCTATGCCTTGACAAGACAGAGCGCTGGCTAGTCCTCAGGTTCATCAGCAGTGTAAACAAAGCAAAGTAAAGCCAAAGTCTGTGGGCACTCTCAAGAGTCGAGATAGGGAAATGTCTTTACTAATCCAGAGAGTGTGTGGGACTCAGTGGCTGCTCCAAGAAAAGACATAGGGCAAATAAGTATCATCTAAGGACAGTAGCTAACATTCAACAACCCTCAAGTATCCGTTGCCTTTTAAGGTGCTCTGGGTGAAACTTTTATTTCTCTAAGGCCTGCATGCATACATAATAATACATAATAATATGTACATTATCATTACTCACACTTGTTAACTGAATAAGTAAAACTGAAATTTAAGTGAGGACTGTATAAAAAGAACAGCTAGAAAACTCTAATCTAGTTACAAAGCCAATGAGAAAATAGGTCCACCAGCCAGGAACAGAAGGCCAGTGTGGGCAGCATTCTCGGACTTCACCCTTGCTGTCCGTTCTCTCTCTATCCAGTAGCACAGGGCTTTCATTGCACCCTGAAGAATGTGACTTTGTGCGTTTCTGCCTAAAGAAGTCAGTGTAATAGACAATATTTACGTTAGGCCTGGAAAAGTTAAGCGGTGTTATTTTGAGGAAACATCAGTGTAAATTAAATTAGCTCTTTGATCTTGAAACCAGACCAATTTGTCTTTTACTAATACATTAAAGATCAATCAGTACATTCTTTTCTAATCCAGAGTCAGTCAATGGATAATTTAAAAGCTATCAGTAAATTATAAGACAGCAAATTTTTTCTAGAAAAGTCTAGTGGCACTGTGTTACAAAACTAACACAAAAAAAGGAAAAGATGAAAGAGAAACTCATCTATTTAAAGGAGCTACCCTTGTCTCCTGCGGGCATCTTGGCTGAAAGAAACTCCTACATATAGCTTCAAATGCCTCCCTTCATAAGGAGAGAATAATGTTCGGAATGTACTTATTCCTTTTCAAATTTATTATAGCTATTAATTGATATATCCTGAAGTTTATTTTATTTCTGCTTTTACGCTAAATAGGCAACACAGTCACATATCTACGACAAGGACAGGTCCAAATAATAAGTACTAGTGAGTGTAACTCACCGGCCAGTTATAACGGCGCTGTCTTGCCTGGAATGCTGTGTGCTGGACTACCTACGGGTGCAGTGGACGCATGCCAGGTAAGCCCAAGCCAGCCTCCTCCTCGTCACCATCCAGAAAGCTCCCAGGCACCTGTGGCATACCATATTGTGGTGGGCAAAAAAGGAACAGTGAGCACACCATCCTGATCCTCTGGAAACTCATCGTCAGAGTTTTAGAAATAAAATTATCTTACAAACTTAGCTCAGTAGCATAAGCATCTGCCTGGCAAGTAAAGGTCCCAAGTTGACCCCCAATACCACAAAAATAAATAAATAAATATTTAAGAATTATAATTTTTATTCTCTTTAAAATTTTTTTTAAAATGTCAGGACTCTACTCCATGAGCACTTTCCCCCAAAATGAAATATTTTATCAACTATAAATTATGAGGGGCCGGGGAGATGGCTCAGTAGAATAAGCACTTCTCTCGCAAGTGCAAGGGCCTGAGTTCAATCCCCAATTCCACACAAAAAAAAAAGAAAGAAAGAAACTATAAATTATGTGCAGATGAAGGAGACTTGCATCTTAATGTCCAATACACTATTTGTTACCCATTCTGCCCTTTACCCTTTAAGTGGAGATGTTTCTGTGTTGGGACTGCTTGGTGACCTTTCAGTTTCTTGTTAATGCTAGTCCTGAGGATGAACTCAAATTTTATGATAGTTTTTCAAATAATGTACATACCGCACAGAAGTATATCTCCACACTGACAACTTCAGGTCTACTTAAGAGCATTGATTAAAACTAACTTAAGGGAATACCTGAGACTTTAGAGTGTTCCCCAGCCTGACATGGTGATGCACACCTGTAATCCCAGCATTCGGCAAGGCTGAGACAGGAGGATCATAAATTGGAACCCAGCCTTAGTAATGTAATGAAATTCTATCTCAACTTTAAAATCTATATATTAAAGGGCTGGAGATGTAGCTCGGTGAGAGGCCATGGGATGAACATCCAGTACCACCCAAAAAATAAATATATAAGGTGGTGTTGCCTGGGCTTTGCTTACTGACAATGCCTCTTACTTTCTGTGTTTATAAGTTGTTTTCTCTGAGCACAGTTCAATCCTTTACTCATCATAAAAGCTTCCCTATGTTCCACCCAAGACTTCTCTGGCTTTGTTCATGTCTCAAAGACAAGCAGCCCTTTTGTTTCTTTAATTCTTTCATTCGTGGGTGTATTCATTCCTTCATTCACTCAAGAATTGTATTAATTGCTTCCTGTGCAACATTCTCAATAGTGCAACTCTTGTACTTCATAGGGTTATGGCCTGGAACAGAAGGCAAGAGTTTGAGTCCTGTATCTTCAGTCAGAGAATGAAATGGCTAGGCACAAGGGAAGCTGTGTGCCCTCCTTATTTTACATTTGCTTGCCCACTCTTGAGAAGACATCAGGCAACAGTGGCAACAGAGGCACAGTGGTAGCAAACAATGGGAGGTGGTTAGCCTGACCATCATGCATCATCCAGAGGAGGGAGGTGCCAGCCCTGCACAGGGCCTTCCAGCTCAGCTGGTGATGCACAGGTTGACCCTCCTCCCCCTCTAGACCTGTGATTAAGTAGGTATAGAAAAGCTCACTACTCAGAACACCAAATGAATAGCTAACTTTTCTAGAAGCACACTTGGTAATACGAGCTGACTTTTATTAGTACTGCTTGTATGTCCAGTGTGCTCCGAGGGCATTGCAGGCTAAACCCATTAAATTCACAGAAAATATTATTCATTGATAAGGAAATTGAGGCACAGAAAGCTGTTAAATAGCCTAATAAAATTCACAGAGCTGGGAAGTGGGGGGATTCAAACCCATGACACCAAGCTCCCATACCCACAGAATCAACCCATTATGTAACATGTAAGATATGCTAAATTTGTCTCCCAAATTAAACAAATACATGTAATAATATGTGCTGGTTGTTTGTGGATTGTAATTGTCTGGTAAATATCCCATTAAGGAGTGTTTTACTTCTTGCTGCGTAAATTTTTCCTCACCAAAAGAGTATTTTTTGAAGATAATACTATGCAGCAGACACTATGCAGGGCACTAAGGTATATAAGTGATACTTCTAGAAACTCAACTGAACAAATACTTCCTTAGCATCTCCTAGGATCTGGGAGCTTAGGTTACAGCAGTGTCCTGAACAGGTAAGTTCTGTTGCCTGGTGAGCATTACAGGGAAGATGAGAAAATAGACATTAAACAGATAGCCAGACACAGTATTACAGTGATGTGCAGCTGCGAAGATGAAGGAAACTACCTGATGGTGCTAATTCAAAGAAGTACATGGGCTGGGGAGATAGCTCCATGGTGCACCTGCCTGGCAAGTGCAAGGATGTGAGTTTGACTCCCGGTTCTGCAAGCCCTGCTGGCCCCAGGTTCCTGGGAGCACCATGCTGGCCCAAAACTGGGTGTAGTGGTACACACCTGTTATCCCAGCACTGGGGAGGCTGAGACAGGAGGATCTCTACAAGTTCAAGCTGTGCAGTGAGACCCTGTACCAAACAAATAAATAAATAAATAAATAAATAAATAAATAAATAAACAAACCAGCACTTAGGAATCAATGCAGACGCAGTGACAGAACTATATGCAGAAAGTGGGTACGCACTGAGAAACTAATTGAGCCTAAAGCCAGAGTCAGGGAGAGTGAGGAGAAAAGGAGCAGGTAAGAGCAGGTTTCCCAGAAAGGGAAAAGCTCAGGTGAGTGGAAGGCTGTGGGGTACAACTTATACACTTGAGGGATTTCAGTAAATCCCTCAGTTTTTTGTATGACTTAGTATACTATTTCAAAAGGAAGTAGGCTGACTTTAGGAATACAATGGCTATGACTTCCTCTGTTGTCATAGAAATAAAATAAAAATTTTTGAGTGTGCCTTTGCATGTAAGTAATCAGTCATTTTGCTTCCTGCAGGGGGATTCCGGTGGCCCACTAGTCCAAGAAGACTCACGGCGGCTCTGGTTCCTCGTGGGAATAGTGAGCTGGGGGTATCAGTGTGGTGTGCCAAATAAACCGGGAGTGTACACGAGAGTGACAGCCTACCGTGACTGGATCAGACAAGTAACTGGGGTCTAATTCAATCAATGCATTTCTGTCACAAAATGGTCAAGTGCAATAAAGGCATCTCTGTTCCAAAGTCTGTCTGCAGGTGTGCCTGGCTAAAGCTCCAAAAGTCTACTTTTCAACAGAAAAATACAACTGTAATTGTTTTATTTTTACATATTGTTATAAAACATATTATTATAGGTTTTATATTTTCTGAAGAGAAGCATGTGAATAATTATATAGTACTATGGCAATATGATGGGTACCATGTTAAACTAGCTGTCGAGTTAACAGTTTAATGACAACTGTACTATTAGTAATAAATAAATAAGCACTGTGAGAATGTCTACAACAGCAATTAAGGAAAGTCTCAAGGGTCAGAAGAGGGTCTTTGAGGATGGCTTATTGAAGTTGATAAATGAGATAAGAGTAGAAACTTGAGAAAAAAAGCAAAATGACATTCAAGATATACAAGGTGATGCAAGAAAATAGCATTTATTTAGAATTTCTGTTCATTCAATATATCATAGGAGATGTCACAAAATTTAAAAAGTGAGATCACAGTACTATCTTAATTATCCTGTAATAACATGTCTTCATAGGAACTGTCTGATGAATTTCAGATATTTTGGAAGCCAAAATGGTTTAGCTCTCACTAAAGGAATTATAGTTTTGATGAATATTTTTATCAAAAATATCTTTTATCTACATAGAGGAGAAATTGTATCTCACTCAGAGAAAAGCTTAGGATATGCACCTACATACCATCTCTGGTATCCTTACAACTACACTGTATAATATTACTTAACAATCAAACAAGGATGAGTTAGAGGTTTGGTCATCTGGGATAATTCTCCTGAAGGAACTACTCACCACTGGCAGTTGTTTTGGGGAGTATGAAGATCTTTGTTATCTAAATCTAAGTATTAAATTGAAAAGAAAATAGGAAAAAATATAGAATTGGTGAGCAAAGAGAAGATTTAAAGAGCTTAATATCAAAAAACCTCTTGGAAAGAGATTCTCTGTCTCTGTCTCTCTGTCTCTGTCTCTGTCTCTCTGTCTCTGTCTCTGTCTCTCTGTCTCTCTCTCTCTCTGTCTCTCTCTCTCTCTCTCTCTCTCTCTCTCTCTCTCTACCACCACCACCAAAGTATATATTAAATGAATTCCATTAAATTAAAATTTAAGGGCACAGCAATCTGTATAGTCTGAATCACTGAATCATG